CAGTGCTAGTCAAACAAATTCAAGGCCTGCTTTAGCCTGCAAGGTCACCAGTTTAAGACCTATGACCTTTACCAATAATAGGCCTTTGGCCTTCACTGGGGTTGTATGGGGTAGGGGGTGGGCTAGGGGGTGGAGGCTTGCAATTTTGTGGTGGGACTCTTAAGTTCTAAAAGAGATAACTGCCCAGGGCAGGGCAGGTTATCCATTAAAAGTAATAAGGTAGTGGGCAGGGAGGTTAACAGTGAGTGTAAGTGAAGCATTAATATGTTTAAACAGTAATTGGGGCAGCATAAATTAATGTGGAGGAAGGAGCACTTAATTTAATTTAATTTATAGAACTGTGACTCCTTAAACTACCCCTTAGCAGGGGCTGGATTGGAAAGGTGGAGTCAAGAGGTCCTATTCCTGAAAACTGAAAGGACACACTTCATAAAGCCAAGCTGCCTGGGACAAATGCCATCTTTAAATGATAATGATTTCAGTTTTAGTCTACTTAGGAATTAAATACATTTGATTAATTATTGACTCTTCACAATGACTTCTAAAAATTTCTATTCCCCAAACACACCAAAGAGCAATAATAGCCAAAAACCACACATAAACGTCCCATTAGGAAATGACACTTCATTAAGCAACTCTTAGTTGTTTTCCATTTTCAAATATTGTCCAAATTTGAGTAACATTGTGTACTATTCATAAAATGCAAATCCTATTAGTATGCACATGTTTTTACTATTGTTTTCAACCTTGTTAATATGCAGATACACAATTTCCAAAGAGGAGAGAAAGCTGTAATTATGTTAAACACATATTTTCCATAGATTGTATACTTGTTAGGGATTGGGTAGGGGGAAGGTGACAGATTGTTGGGAGCCAAAGTTCCCAATTTCCCCTTTAACAAAGTCCTGGCTCATGGTTTGTAATATATAGAACCAGGTTTTAAAATGTCTTCATTCAGTTAGAATCATAATGTTTACATGGCACATCTGACTGGCAGTTATGATTTTTTTTACTGAGATGTTTAATTATGCCAGTTGAAACAATCTATATTTTATAATGTAACCACTTTATGTTATAGTATACAAATTTTAAATAATACCAATATGTAGCATTAATAATCCACTTGCCCAAAATTTAAATAATTAGCTTCTTATGAAAAAAGCTAATTATTTGGCTAATTAGCTTTTTATGAAAAAAGCTAATTATTTGGCTAATTAGCTTTTTATGAAAAAAGCTAATTATTTGGAATAATTTAAATTAATTTAGTTGTTTTATAATTACAGCTTATGTTACTGAAATTTAAAAATATTTTTTTTAAAAGATACTAGTAAATATGTGAGAGATAAGGTGAGCAAGGCAACCCAGGACAGCAAAGCACCATGGACATAGTAGCAAGAAACCAGAAAAGACCTGCAGACACCAAATAAACCAATTTACTTTGGTCATTTAACATATTTAATGAATGCCTACAATGTGCCAGGCACAATTTATTATATGTAGGCAAGTTAGCCAGGGCTAATCCCCTGAAGTTCCAAGAAAAAAAAATCCAGCTTCACAGGCACACAAATAAAAACCTCATCCTCACTCAGAGGCCAAGCCATCAGCACCAATAGGCCACTTAAAACTCCAAGCTCAAGTTGTTCCTTATTTTGTATCCACCAAAGCATCTGATTCCAGTAGGTCCACTAGTGTCTCAAAAAAACTTGAATTTGAAATTATAAAAGTTTTATTTTTCATTTGTAGTAAAGACACTTGGCTAAATTGCCTTTAGAGGCACTTGCCATGTCAGCTTATAAGTTTCCTTCATAACCCACTACCAGGAGTTTAAAGTGTGGGATTGTTACTTAATATATGCAAAGCACTTATTAAAAGTGCTCACAAATGCCAGGTATAATAATTATTGTTGTTAATTGTTCTTATTATTTATTAGATACTAGTGGACAAAAAGCAAAACCAGCACAGCAGAGAAACCGCAGGGGGGTGGGGCTGAGCAGCCAGACTCAGGCAAGGAAGGCGCGCAAGCGCAGAGGAGATGGATCAATGGGAGGGGCTGGGGTTCACACTGCGCAGGCGCACACAGGCTCTGAGGGAGGCGGGGCTATGGGCCAGTCCAGAGGAGGCAGGCCAAGGAGAGGCGGGGTCTGGGCTAGGCCCCCTCAGAGGAGGGGTTCTGGGGAGAGGAGGGCCAGGGAGAGGCGGGGTCTGGGCAGGCCACCTCAGAGGAGGTGGGCCAGGGAGAGGCGGGGCCTGGGGAGGCCACCTCAGAGGAGGCGGCCCAGTGAGGGACGGGGTCTGGGCAGGCCACCTCAGAGGAGGCGGGCTAGGGAGAGGCGGGGCCTGGGGAGGCAGGGTTTAGAAGGCGCGCTCTGGGAAGGCGCGCTGCCGGGGAGGCGCGCTTGGAGTAGGCGCTGGGGGCGGGGTGGCAGGGAGGCGCTAAGCGTGCTCAGGACGATACTGCAGAGAACGCTTGCTAGGATGGGCGGGGCAGGTCTGAGACTGGCTGCTCAGGGCTGCAGAGTATCTGCACGCCTCTCCCAGGATCCC